CTGGAATTCATAGTGAGACCCTGTCCCCACAAAACAAAACAAAAACAAAAAGCAATAATGGTGCATCTAAACAACTTGCTCATAAAGAGTGGCATCTTTTTTCAAGAATGTCAATAGTGTTAAGTAATAAACAGCAGCGAGGTTAGGCAGACAGTTCAGTGGTAACACACAGACAAGGTCCTGGATTTGATCCCTAGCAAGAACAATAATAAAACCAATAAAGAAAAGAATAATGATGTAAATAGGAGAAATCCTTGGTAAATCTCTATATGTATGTAAAACTTAGACAATATCATGACATTGGGTGTCAACTACATGCAGTGCGCCAGCACCCTGCACCTTAAGCAACATCAGCAATGACCCACTGCTTTGATTTGCTGATACGTTAGGGGAAATCACATCGTGTGTGTAATGAATGCTTTGATTAATATGTCTTAAACTATATGTAAGTGAGGCTTAGCATCCGTCCACTGGCTGGCTGTATTCTTTTGTGACACATTTTTCTATTGTATCCTTTTCTTTTCTCTTGTGGATTTGTATAAATTCTTTGTAAACAAACCCTTTGTTACACATATTGCAAATAGTTTCCTCTTTTCACAAAGCACTTTTTATATTTATTTAATAATACTTTTCATCTTTCCCTTTATGACTTGTGTTTGTTCTTATTTAAGCCCAAGGCTAATACTACAAATTAATTCTCTGATGTTTTCTCTTTGTACTTTCATAGTTTCATGTTTTATTAATTAAATCTTTACTCCATTTGAAATTTATTTTGATGAGAGAAATGAAATAGGGTTTCAGCTTTAGTTTTTCCTAAAGCTTTTATCAGCCTTTTTTAATGGTGCTAGGGATTGAACTCAGGACCTCCCACGTGCTAAGCACGTGTTCTACTACTGAGCTTCACACTTTGCCCCTCATTCGTTGCTGTTTTTTTATAGGGAAATTATCTTTACTAGCTTTTATTTGCACATGAATTTTTTTTTTTTTTTAAAAAGCAAACAGTGCTAATGACCACTCTGGTAAAATACAGTTCTCAAAGCTACAGAGGATTACATCCTTTGGGTGGGTTTTCTTTCCCAAGGATGGCGAGCCTGCTGGCCATGACAGCAGTGACTGCTTCCCACAGCAGCATGTACCACATGCGCTCACCTTCGAAACTTTTCCAGTCTGTCGGTCTTTCTCTACACAGTAGCAGCTATCTCAGGACGCTGCGAAAGTAGTTGCCAGGTTATACATTTTATCACAGAGTCTACGGAGAAATAAGTCATCTAAAATCTTTTGCAAAATCTCAGGAAAAACATAAAATGCATCAGCCTAATTTCCATCCCTTTTTCGGGCCCCAAATGATCTTCATCTCCCAAGCGATTGTCTGGTGCATCTCTTCATCAGTACTGGCCAGACATGCAGTAGACCTGACACTAGGGAAAGCATACATCGGTAAGCAGCTGTGTTCCCCCTGCTGTCTAGCATTTTGTTAAAGAAGTTATAGTCATTCATCTGGTTATGGGAAAGATCATCATATTTGATGCAGCCGTAAGCAGCAACTGTCTGACCAGCTTTCAATTTACCTGCAGAGAGACTCTGTCTCTCTGTTTTTCCTTCTATTTGCCCATGGATCATTTTAGTCTTTCTTCCAGAAGTTCTGTGAGGCACACTGTTTCACCTGAATGTGTTTTAAATTTTTTGTCTTCCTGTAGCACCACACCAAATCCAGCATAGGACACTCGACTTACTTTAGGATTACACCAACCCATCATTTGAGCAGAAGCAAACATTGTGTTAAAGTGTACAGACTGTCCACTGTTCACCACATAATCATATCTGCTTTCCCCTCAAGCAGTCCTTGTTTAATAGCAGCCAGGTTAAAAGTATTACAGGCACAACCACTATCTGATTTCACTGCGGTCCACGGTATGGACCACCCTGGGCAAACACAATCTTTCTGCCATCATCCACTTGCACGAGTCCTTTATCTCCAAATTCTTTTCCAACATCATTCATCCTATCTTGATACAAGGACCCTCCTCTCTCTATTAAGGCAATATCCAATGTATCATACATTTTATTAAATTCTTGGTGGGAGACATCACAAATACATTTCCACGGCTGTGTAATATCTGCATCTTTACTCAGAAGCCAAATGACACACTGATATGCTCCTCTTCTTAGAGTCCTCATAAAAGGCCTGAATATCCCCAGTATGTGGTGAAACTCAGACAGTCTAGAAGTTTATCTTGTAGGTGAGCAGTGAGCACGCCAAACTGGGTCCCCCAGTCTCCTACATGGTTTAACCTGAGCATATCATATCCTGAAAATTCAAAGAGGCAGCACACACCTTAGCTGATCTTAGGTGGCCTACATGCATTTCTAGCTATCCTAGGAGAAGAAAAGGCAATTACAATCTTTTTATTCTCTCTGATGGCAGGAGGCTCAACTCCATTCACCAAGAGTTTGGTCAATTGTTTTAACACAAAATCCTTTCTTAAGTGGACATTTGTGAAACCAGGACCTGCAATTTTTTTTTTTAGTATCAGGAATTGAACTCAGGACCTTGCACTTGCCAAGCAGGCACTTGTTCCACTGAGCTATGTCCCCGGCCAGGACCAGCAATTTCAACTTTTTCAATACATTCATTATTTAGCAGGTATTTGGTAATGTTTTTAGCAATTTCTCTTGGATTTATGATCTGTTCTTTGGTCTTCAGCATCTGAGAAATACCTACGGCACTATTATACCAATACTCTCCAAATCTGGGCTGCTGACGTGGTGCTACTATCAGAGGAGAATTTTCCAAGTCTGGATGTACAGCCTTAATGGCACAACCAAATACTTCTTGAAGGCAGCTATTAATACTAATCACATTTTTAGTTGGTCTGTTCTTTTCTGTCTGAAGAATCTCTCAAAGAATATTCAGTCAATACTTTAATTTTAAATTTTATTCTTGCAAGAGCTACAAATTTGGAAAAATTTCCAAATAGTTACAATTTTTCAGCTGGTCAGTTCCAGCAGTCAGAGACTTAATCTCTTTTCCTGCTGCAGCAGCCATGTGCAGCAGGAGCCACTAACACACCCATTCTCTCACCAGCACCTCCTCATCATCACTGTTGAGCAAATTTATCAATATAAAAAGCTGCCTTTACCTGTACTAAATCCACTGCATGCCCTGGACTTTCTCAATATTGCACCGAGCTGCCTATGTCTTCTTAGGTTCCAATATGCCAGGTTATTCCCTTGATTATGTTTTTAGAACTTTCCTGGTTATTTTAGAATATTTATTATTCTCTATTAGGATTTCTCAGCAGTGGTACTATTGACAGTTTGAGAAGTTAACTGTCCGAAACTGTGTGCATTTAAGATGTTTAGCAGCACCTCTGCCCTCTCCCCACTAGATGTCAGTATTACCTCCCAGATGTGACACCAAAATGTCTTCGTGCATTATTGCCAATTGCTGGAAACAAATGGGCCCCCAGTGAGAACTGCCATTTAGATAAATCCTAGTACCGTTTTATCTGTGTTTCCACTCCCGCATTCTCACTTCTACTTTAATTAAAGTGTAGGGCAATTTAGGGATCCCTATTCTATTTAATGTTATACTATTACATTTGTTGTTATAGTTAACCTTCCGTTCCTAAAACCATGTCTTCCGCCTTCCACTTAGTTATGCCTTCTTTGAGAAACATAAGCTTGTCCTATAAAGGATTTTAAGATTTTTAAATATACTGGTTCTGCAACTATTAAGTTTATTTCTAAGTATTTTACCTTTTCATGCCTTTATAAATGGGACTATGTCTTACATTATTTTTAACTGGTCATTGACATAAAAGCTATTTTTTTTATCTATGTATGTATGTATCTATCTATATAACTATTTATTTAGAGATGGGGGGGTCTCTCTATGTTTCCTAGCCTGGCTTCAAACTCCTAAGCTCAAATAATCTTTCTGTCTCAGCCTCCTATTGGCTGGGACTGTAGGTGCACACAACTGCACCTGGAAGGGTGCATCTACTTCATCTCATCAAGGCAGTCTCTATACATCCATAATTTACCAAGAGTTTATTATTAAATCAGAAAGATTATTAATTGTAATAAGTTCATCTTCCATATCTATCAAGGTGACCATGTGGGTTTTCTTCTTTGGCCTATTGATACTGTATGCTAGATTATATTCAGATTCCCTAACATTCATTCATGCTTAGACGACATAACTCCACTTGGTTGTGATGTACACTACTGTTCTTTTACTCTCCTTTTAAATTCTACTGGCTAAGATTTTGATCTTACATTTTTGCGTTAACATTTGAGAGTAAGAATCTTCTGTCATATTTTGGTAGTGCTTTATTAACTTTTGGAATTAGTATTAGGCTCGCTTGATAAATATAAATTGTATTCTCATTTGCTGTATTTTAAAACCAAATGTGTATGTACATTTAGTATGAAATCACTCCTTAAACAGTAAAACTGTTATACAGAAACACCAGGCCATTCCCCTTATCTCCAAAAGCTACTTATAAGCTTTAAAGTTTCAACTTTTTGAAAACTGAATACAGTAAATTAAAATATGCTTCTGAAAAGTAGTCTTGTTTTATGCTAAGAGCACAAAATCTCAAGTATACCAACATTCAACACCATTATAGCTTAATAACAATATATTTGTTTTCCCATTTCAGACAGTTTAATACTCTGTTGGAAGCTGCATTTTAAGAGCGAGACAACAAAAAAGCTTAGCTATGTCTTACCAAGATGAGCCCAGGAACACACATCATATTGCCTGGCTCCCAAAAGGATTTCACACACATGGTAACAAGTAACCTTCTGAAGGGACAGAGAAATCATAGCACTCCTGCCCCAATGGCTGTGAACTCCTTGTGGCAACAACATTGCTTAAAATAGTTCCTGGCACACAGTAAGTGTTCAGTAAGTATCTAATGAAGGGAGGAATGTATGAATCACTGACATGCTTTCACATAGCCAAGATGAATGGCCTCCTGGATTCCTCCTACCTGTAGTGGTCCTCAGGCGGCTCTCAGCAAGCTCAGAGATGGCTCCAGCTGTCGCAGTCTTTTTCAGTCGCACTACCCCTGATGAGGAGGTACTTCCAGGCTTGTTGAGCATGTCCTCGCTGCTGGCTCTCTTGAGCTATGAGAGATGGTAGAGGGAAAGAGAGAAGATGAAGAGACACTTCTTCAATAAGGAGTGCTGTGTTCAATATGTTCTCAAGGACATTCTCGAAAGAGACAGGACTACAACTCCATGAACCCAAACAGAATGAATCCACCAGGCAAAACAAGCAACTAAACAGAGGGGGAATAAAGAGAATCAACAACAGGAAAATAACATGACAAGGATAAGTCAATATGTATCAGTTATAACCATCAATGTAAATGGTCTTAATTCACCAATCAAAAGAAACACACTGGCATAATGAATCAAGAAGCATGATCCAACAATATGCTGCATACAAGAAACACATTTAATTCAAAAGCAATTCATAGCCTGAAAGTCAGGGGATGGAAAACAATACTCCATGCAACAGAAACCCAGAGAAAAGCAAGAACAGCTATTCTATTTGCAGACAAAGTGAATTTCAAGTCAAAACTGATTAAGAGAGACAAAGAAGGTCACCACATCTTTGTAAAGGAAACAATACAAGAGGAAGAGATAACAGTCATAAATACATATGCAACAAATACCAGTGCACCCAACTATATAAAACAAATATTAATGGACATGAAAAGTCAAGTAAGCAATAATACAACTGCTATGGGGACCTCAATACACCACTATCACAAACAGACAGATCAACCTGATAAAAAATCAACAATGAAATACAGAATTGAAACAAACTTTTAAATAAATGGATTTAGTAGATGTAAGCAATAATACAATTGCTATGGGGGACCTCAATACATCACTATCACAGACAGATCAACCTGACAAAAAATCAACAATGAAATACAGAATTGAAACAAACTTTTAAACAAATGAATTTAGATGTTTATAGAGTGTTCTGTTCCACAACATCAGAATACACATTCTCAGCTGTACAAGGGATGCTCTCCAAAATGGACCACATACTAGCTCACAGAACATGAGTAAATGCAAAGCAGTTGAAATCATCCTATACATATTATTAGACCACAGTGAAATGAAATTGGAAATCAACGGCAAAGGAAACCATAAGAACTTCTTAAACACATGGAAATTAAATAGCATCCTTCTGAACAACCAAAAGGTCATAGATAAAATTAAAGAAGAAATTAGATAGTGTCTACAATTAAATGATAATGCCAACACAACATACTGGAATTTATGGGACACAAAGAAAGCAGTCCTACATGGAAATTTTATAGTAGGGAAATCCCATATCAGAAAAACAGAGCAAGCTCAAATAAAAAACCTAATGTTGAACCTCAAGTTGCCAGAAAAAGAACAGCAAGTCAACCACAAAGCTTGTATGAGGGAGGAAATTATAAAGATCAAGCAGAATTTAATGAATTGAGACTAAGAAAACAATACAAAGAATGAAGAACTGGTTCTTTGATTTAATAAAATTGAAAAACCTTTAGCTGAACTTATCAAAAAGAAAGGAAGGAAGGAAGGAAGGAAGGAAGGAAGGAAGGAAGGAATAACTCAAATCCATGTAGTTAGTAATGAAAAGGGTGAAATCATAACAGATCCTGCAGAAATTCAGAAGATCAACAATACCCAGTTCAAGAACCTGTATTCTAATTTTTTTTTTTTTTTTTTGGTTTTTCTCTGGT